ATTATATATAAATAATTTCATATATTACACCAACATCAGAAGGAAGTGGCTCAGGCCTGGCAAGAAGGAGAAAAAAAAACGTTTTGTAAAGATTAGGGATAGTTGTTTTGTGGACAAGGTTCACATAAAAATAGAACTGAAGTAGTGCCTGCATGAACTGCATACCATAATGTGTGGAATAATTCCAGTGCAAATATAATTTCATTATGTGGCTAAGAAGTCGGCATGTTAATTATAGGAAAGCAAAGCTTGTTCATCAATTGGCAGCACTTAAAAAAAAAAAAAAAACTGAGTGAGGTATAATAACGTGCACAAAAATTGTTTTTGCCTTAAATTAAAATAACACAAGTGATTACATCCCCCTGAGGGGTAGTTGACATTATTATGACGACTCATGGAAGATGCAGTTGAATCACAGATTTTTAAAAAGATTTAGTGTGATACATTTTCTTTTAAAAATGCAATCATTTTTTCATTAGATATAAATGCAACACCTATTCTCACATATCTGTACAGCCAGCAGCTTGAATCTGTGAAGCTGCCCTTGTGTTCTCTCCTTTTTTGTGCGCCCACCAACTCTTTAGACATGTTCTAGCATGATGCATAAATTTAGAACCAATTTTACACCACATTGCCTTAGCTTCACTTTTCCAAACAGTCTCCAGCACTTGAATCCAACTCGACTCTCATCCAGTTCAAGTGCACCAGAGCAAAAGAGTGAGCTTTCAGTACATTCCTTTTTACTCAGATTTAATAGAACTTTTTAATCATGTCCAGAATCTTTATGATGCAATCAAATTTTCACAAGACATGACATATTATTTTTGAAGTAAGGCAAAAAGGATATTTCACTTGGCACTGCTCAGCATTTATAAAGGAAATGTAATTTTGTCAAGTGAACAATAAACACCAAAATGTGTAGCTTTTTCATTGGCAGTAAACTTATTTTAACAAGGATATAATAGGTTGATATTTATGGGAAAGGAGTTGATTTTAAAGTGATAGAGTTCATGAAAGAGCTTCAATGGTGTCTTGTTTCAGTGTATGCATTTTGTACAGTTTTTGCTAGCTTTTGTTACTAATGTTTGTATGCCTGTATGAAGTGCCACCCTATATATGTTATTCAAAATCGTAGTTGCTTCTGATATTTATTTTCCTTAAAACTCCATATTTACTATACTTTAATTGCATCTAATAGGGTCTGATTCCACATACAAGCACTTTGTAATTTCCACATATGTATTGGAACAGTTTTGCTTAAATCAGATCCATGCAAACATTGGCATTCTTAAAGGCTTTTTGATTAGAAGTTGGTCTTTTAAAATGTGTCTTGATCTTAAGGTAAAATTTGTTTTGACAAACATTTACACAAAGATAATTTTACACTAGCTACGTGGCATATTTAATGCAGTTTTTAAAACAAATTGTCTAGTCTTAGATTATAGTGGCTGAATAGTCTTGTCAATGGTTTGAATTAATGTGGGATTTTTTTTCTCCATTCTATTAACTGTATATTAATTTAATATTAATATTACTTAATTTTAAAAGACACATGTGAAAAATAGTCCTTAAGAAAATGTATTAGAACATATTAAGTTACTATATGTTCAAAAAGTTGAACATAACACAATATTTAAATCAATTTTGAGCCACATAGGTTTTTGAATATCTCAGCCATCAACCTATTACAATTTCTAGCATCCTGCAAAGGCATGGACATGGCCCATAGAATAAATTCCCAACCTCTTATTGTTCACACTCTTCTTGACCTCCGCTTCCTGGAGTCATCTCCCAAAGAGACACACCCTACATAAAAACCTGAGTAAATACCATGTGATATTTTCAGATGATAAGTGTATTCAATTTTGGGTTAAAACTAAAACAGTCTGGCCCTTGGGTCAAAAGTAACTGCCCCACAAAGTCTGGTCTAACCTTTGCAAATTAAAACCACAACAACAACAAAAACTGTCTTGATAGTCTCCAAGACTTTTGGGAAAATAATTTGTGCATTGACAAGTCAAAATTGGAACTTTTTGAAAGGTGATCTTTCCATTGCATCTGAAAACTAACTGCATTTTAGAAAAAGAACACCTTACTGACAGTGAAATAGTAGTGGTGTAGCTTGAATGGTGTAGTATCTGAAGCTGCTTTACTGCTCCAGGACTTGGGCAACTTGCTGTAACCGATAGAAGAATGAATTCTGCTTCAGATCATAAAATCCTGAAAGGGAATGCTGGACCAACAGTTGTGACCTTAAACTCAAGCACACGTGGGTTTTTCAGCTGGCCATTGATTTGAAGCACATCAGCAAAATGCCTCAGCCATGTAAAAAAGTCATGGACAGTTATCACAAATGCTTGATTGCAGTTGTTGCCACCAAAGGGTGACATAACAGTAATTACGTTTGTGTGGCAATTAATTTTTCACATAAGGCCAGGTTGATTTGGATAGCTTTTATTCCCTTAATAAATGAAATCAGCATTTAAAGACTGCGTTTTGTATTTACTCAGGTTATATTTAATTATTTGTTAAAATAATCTGAATTCTGCAATTAGGACAAAAATGTAATAAAAAAAAAACAACAACTAAAGAACATGTAAGGGAGCAAACACTTTTCACAGCACTCTTGTCTCCATTTAAAATTGACATGTGAGAGCAGATTGGCTGTTAGAACACAGACAAAAGGCTCTGAGTACTCTCAGCAAAATTAAAAATGAGGTCAGTTTGATGGCAGGACAAAACAAGAAATCTTTAAAAAAACAAAAAAAATCTGGAGCAATGAGAATATCGCAGAATAAAAGTAGATGTCAAGTACAGAACGTCCCAATTAAACTTACACAAAAGCTTAAAAACAAGTTAATAAAGGCTTGTAGCTAATAAAGTATCTGCTTCAATTCATTTCATGTTTAGTATGCTGCAGGAAAGACACAATTTTGAAAAGCTTTAGCTGGAAACAGTTAAGTGCGGTCTTGACAGGGCTATGGGAATAATGCTTTTATGTCCTTTGAAATAACAAACGTCTCTGCATCATTGTTTGTTGCCCTTGCATGCTATCAAGTATTATTGCTGTAAAACACTAACACAATTGTAGTTTTACTTCTTCACTTAAATTTTTGTGATCAGGTACAGCATTTCCTCTGACTGTAGATGTTCCATCATATGATTGTATATTTTTGTCCTTTATTCACCTTCCACTCTAGGAGATTAGAAATGATTTTTAACCCTATGGGTATTAGCAATACAGATGAAAAATAAATAAATAAATAAACTAAATAATAGTATAGGCAGAGAGTGAATTGTTTATTTTTGTCTACATTTTCTTTATCAGGTTAGGACATCATTTCAAACCAATCTCATCCATTTTACATTATCTATTTAAGTTTCAAAAGCGTAACATTTTGAAAAATCTTGCAATTTGACAATGATCACTTTTGAGGCAATCCCTGTGAGTTTTAGTGACAGTTTGTGCTTTGATTTGGCGCTGACAAAACAGTACAAACAAAGCTTCTCGCATCATCTGTTTAGCTGTCTCTCCATCACAGATTTGCTCGCAGGCACATGCACAAACAGTTTGGCAAAGTGGCACTGTATGATTAGAAAATTGAGCACCACAGATAAATTGGTCATTGATCAAACCAGCAGGGGGAATTCAAAAGTAAAACAAAATAACACTTTTTTTTTTATTTGATCGTGAGTTTTTGTCATCCTTGTGTACTATAATTGTATGATCTTAGTATTTTTATACACTTGACACCCAACTGGATAAAGATAGTATCATTGCTCATGCCACCGTTTCTTCTTCTTCCTCTTCTTGTCCTGATCACCATTTTTCAACAGCTGTGTTAACTTATTGTGTAAATAAAGTTTTGTTAAAAATCTAAATCTTCTCCTGGAGCCAAGATGGTGTAGGGGCAGGGCAGCCGACTCGGGACCCGAAGGTCCTGGGTTCGATCCCCCGTCATTGCTCATCTCGTGGTGTCTCTGAGCAGGACGCCTAATCCCAAATTGCTCACCTGGCGCTTACATAACTGTCCACTGCTGCACCTGGGTGTATCCCAGGTGCGATGGGTTAAATGCAAAGAACCAATTTTGTCTTTGTATGGGAACATACAATGATGGCATAGCACTTTATTTCTTCTTCTTTTTCCACTTATTCCATCTTCAGTGGTTGCCACAGCAAGTCATTCTCCTTCATCTCACTCTGTCCTCACTCCGACTACCCCCATGTCCTCTCTAACTTTATCCATATTTTTCCTATTTGGCCTTCCTCTTTGTATTTTTCCTGGCAGCTGCATTTCTAACAGCATTCTACCAATATACCCATGGTCCCTCCTCTGGACATGTCCAAACCATCTCAGTCTGGCCTCTATAACTTTATGTTGCAGTTGTTCAACCTGTGCTGTACCTCTGATGATCTCATTCCTAATCTTATCCATCATTGTCACGCCTAAGGAGAACATTAACGTCTCCGTTTCTGCCTCTTCCAGTTCTGTCTCATGTCTTTCTGTCAATGCCTCTGCTTCCAAACTACTATATACAACATAGCTGCTCACCACTGTCGTGAACATTTCCTTTCACCTTTGCTGACACCCTTTTGTTGCAAACCACTCCTGAAACTTTTCACCACCCACTCCATCCTGCCTAAGCTTTCTTTTTCACCTCTTTACCACATTCCCCATTTCCCTGGACAGTGGACCCCATGCACTTGAAGTCCTGCACCTTTGTGACCTCTACTATTCCACCAGCCTCCTTCTCATTTGCACATATACTCTGTCTTACTACAACTGACTTTCATTCCTCTTATTTCAAGTCCATACCTCCACCTCTCTAAGTTATCTTCCACCTTTTCTCTTTCATTGTACTTGGCATTGCCACCCATAATAAAAAAAAAGCAGTTATTACTCTAAAAAGCAAAAACTATGGCAATAATTTTATATCAGATTCTCAATTGATTTATTTGTTTGTTTGTTTGTTTTTTCATTTCAACATTTTACTGCCAGCAACTGGAGGCATGTATGGTCCCCAGGGAGAATCTGGTTCAGAGCCTGAAGATGACAACCAAATGAAGTTTTACACAGAGCAGAACAGAGGTCGACGACGCAGCAAAGGTAAGAAATGCAGGTTTGTGATGTAGTGTTGTGATAAATTGTCACATTTGAGATGCTCTAACTTTCACAACAGGTTATCCTCTTAAGCACATCAGTCAGCTAAGAATTCAGTAATATAAGAGGAAATTAAAAACAAAAGAATATGTTTGAAAACAAATGAATTCTGAACTTCTATTAGTGGAATATGAATGGGAATAATGATACATATGGCTTTTAGCAGAGTGAAATGAGGCGAGACATTTCTGAATTTGTTCACTTAGCTGGAAGTAGGAAGGAGTCATGCACACTCCCTGTGGTGTTCAAAGTCCTATTCTATAGCGCAGCTCAGTGACACTCACAGAGATATATGAGGTGATGTAAATGGAGTTTCAGTGATACTCAGTCCAAATAACTTGGTTTGGAAACACGATTCTAACTTGCATTTTATACAATGCCAGAGCTGTGATACACAGTATGTTAAAATTAACTTTTATCTGATATTGTTTACATTTTTTTGTTTGTTTTTGCATGTCCTTATTAATTGTATTAGCTGAATGCTAACTTAAATCAATGATTTGCACTGAAAAAAAACAATTTTTCAGAAGATTCTTATAAACAGAAATATTTAACTTTTATTCCATTTACTTGCTTTTCATTTTCAAAAATGCCATTTTTTTATCATGGAGTCAGTCATTCATTAAAACAATTACTCAAAAACCTTTAATCATGAGTTTGAACACATAACCGTCTTTATCATTGACATTCCCAGCACCTCAAAGCAGCTAAACACCATGACTGGATAGACTTGTAGCCACGAGCATTTAACATATTTGAGTGCTTGTAGCTCATAATTTAAACAAGCTTCATATACACACGTGTCTTGTGGTTTCAATGCACTCTTTACATCAGTGAAAGTCAAGCATATTAGGCCAAGGTGTGTGAACATTGTAATAATTGTTTTAGTCGCTTCAGTTCATATCAAGACATTTTCTGACTACACAAACAATTTCCTTTATTCCAAATAATTCTGATTATGCATGATGTTAATACAAATCATATGAGAATGGTTGATTGTTTGTTTAATTATAAATGAAAAATATAGTTGTTAAAGCGCTCTTTAAATTGAACTCTTCTGAAAATTTCATCAGAAAAATCTTTGTGAGAAGTCTTCAAACTCAGCAATAGTCGTAGACTTCATCTAAAGGCTGACCAGAGGGAAGCAAGTTAACAATAGAATTAAAAAAATAAAAAATAAAAAAGCTGTAAAAGAAAATCCTTTATTTATTTAAGGGATATAATATATTTGTGACTGCTTTACTTTTCCATGAGTTTACATAAGTGTTTGAAAGCATAGACTTGTTTGGTTTGTGCCTGTAAGTGTTTGCCATCGTGAGCATACATTCTTTATTTCACTCAGTGAGCTTTTACCGTAATTGAGGGACCCCTCCGAAAGCCCACCGACACCACCCCGACCCCACAGGGATTAACTGCGCTGCCACTTTTGCTGCAGACAGCTGAGGTTTCTCTTGTGCAGTCAGGATGGATTCACTATTATAACTTTTTGTCCCCCGTTTTAACCTTGAACTGCATTTCACTACCTCCAAACTTCAGTGCACCTTCCTTTCATTGTGAATGTATGGGCTTATTAATTAAAGAAGTTGTGGGTATTCATATCCCTATGATTTTGATGGATTTTATATTTGACTTTTTTTTTATCTGTGATTATAAGAAAATGTTCATGAAGAGAGAATAGGTGTGATTTTGTTTTTAAAACACAGTAATCCCATTCATTTTAAAGTATCAGAGCATATATTCTAAATATGTATATTGCAATATTTCAGAACTAGCACAGAAATTCATTTTCAGCGTCTCAACAGTTTCCATCAAATCACGTCAGTATTTCTAAGCCCACACTTGCACCTCTTATATTCCTGTGATCGTCTATTTGAACCTGCCAAGTTCTTTCTCGTGATAACTATTAGTAGACAGAGGTTTAGCAGCTAATTACATTTCCCTTTAGTCTATCTGGGAAATTTGAGCTCTGACAGAGCCAATGTGCAACCATAACTACTAATCTATAACCCTGTCAGTGGGAATAAAATATTTTATCACACTATTAACACTATTTTAACACAAGAAATATGCTATTTCAACATACCCTTTACATATGTTGACAAAATATGAGTGAATTATGAGACAGAAGTGCAATTAATGGTGTGTTTGAAAGCTGAAAATAATAAGGAGAAGATTTATTCTTCTGATGTAATGTGGTTACATTATATGTGTCCTGTTCTCAGCACCTGATAAAACAATGTACATTCAAAATATATATATATATATATTTTTTTAAGCACTTTAAAATATGCTAAAGCTATCTCTGTTTTTCCCCCTCTCTCTCTTTTTTACTGTATCTTTAGGCCACTCACAAAGTCCTCTAAATAAGGTCACCCTAACACTGATTACCATCAGCACATGTGTCATTGCCATTGTCTATGCTACGCAGGATTCCTGTCCCCTTACCGTCAAGGTTACTCTCCATGTGCCAGAGCATTTTGTTGCAGATGGTAAGTATGACACAGTAGAGCTTGGATGACCGACTAACAATTCCAGAACCCCAGAAGGGTTAATTTACTTTTTTAAGCACTATATACTGTTTTTGCTTTATAGCATGGTTCAGTCAGCTGCCTATTATAAGAAATAAATAGTTGGTATTGGAGCTAATTTTTTATATTTAAAGTAAACTAATGCTGTAGAAAGTGTAAGTGATGCCTGACCATTGCAAAGTTGATATATATATATATTTTTTTTTTTTGATTTTCAAGTTCAGTGCTCTCAGTTTCAGTGCTTACAAGCTAAGGACAATAGATTCAAATATAGCAAAAAAACTATATATTGTGTTTAGAAAACAAAAGTTTTTTTATCAATGTATTTGCAAATATTTAGTTAATGAAGAGCAACATGTCTAAAATATATGTTTCTTTCTTTTGTTGAACTTTGATCTGTCATCTTATATGCTTTACAATATGACTTGTTCCGTTCTAATAGTAACTACTAAGTTCCAGAGTAAAACCAACAAAGTCCATGCTCAGTAATCCAGGTACACAATCCAACAATTTTCAGTCAAGTCATCTGGACTTGGACCTTTTTTTAATTCCAGAGTAAAAGTTATCCAAGTCTGTAATCATAGCTACATTGATTTAGTCAACATAATGTTATGTATGTAAACTAACATTCACAAAACGATCTGTAAATCCAGGAGAATCACCGTAAAGTATATAATAAGGATGCTTTAATTCATCTGTATCCATCCGTGAAAGGATGGAGACCTGTAATCTAAAACTAGCAATCTGTTTTAGTTTACGTGATGGCTCCGAGATCAATTTAAACTGGGTCTCTTATTTGTAAGTTCTGAACTAAAGTCCTAAGTGAGAGCAGAGGCCAAAACAGAACATGTGCCAGGGAGTAAATGAAGCAAGAGGGAGTGAATGAAGCAAGGTTATTTATCTAATGATTGCCGTGTCTCTGAGAGTTATGCATTCACTTATCTGCGGATTAGGTGATCTTGGCTCTGGTGCATCATCTCCACACCGCCTACGCTCACAGTTTGTGTGCTCTTTGACAAACAATGAAAATGGAACAGCATATAAATCTGATGTAACCAACCTATTAATATAAGTTCATATATCATGATGTATCCAGTTCTAAGAATGGTCTCAAAAGATTTGATGCATTTCATGTTCTACCTTTGACCCAATACTGACTCAGTTACCACCAGGGATTTGGAGTGTAGGTTTTATTTTTCAGGCTGGAGAGCTAACTTTTGTGTGCAGGATACCCAGGCTATAGAGAAGCAGACAACAGATGCACTGCAGATGTGATTAAAGGCAACCTAACCCAGCAGTCTGCTAGGATGCAGTGAGCACATAGTCAGAGCAAACACACAAATACAACAGGTAAACAAAGCAAATCCAAGCTGGCAAGCCTTGTATAAATATAAAATAGGAAGGTGCAGGGAAACAGTGGGAGAAACCTATACTTCCAAAGGGAAAACGTGATTTGACACACAAGACATGAGCTGTCTTGCATAATCTGCATTTTCAATTGTGGAGAAACAAGATAGGAGGCAGCATGTGCAGTGTGCAGATAGGTTATAATGTCTGGGATCACCATGAGCAGAAAAGCAAAATATGTTGGGAAGCAGGTACAGTTACCAAATTTAATTTATAATAATAATAATAATAAGAAAAATAATAATAATGTTTGTTTGTTTTTTTATATATATATTTACGTAATTTTAAAATATAAGCCACCTTTAAATTTAAAATTTCTGTAATTAGACAAATAAATAGTTTGTTACTTGACATATAATGGGTTCTAAATCAATTATTTAGGGGAATACAAGCATTGATGACACATAGTAAGAATTTAACTTTTGCATGCCATAATAAACAAATATATTAAGTTTGTACCTAAAGGGAAAAAAAAGTGTCCATTATAGAAAAAAAATAGATATGTGGATAATTTGTATAAATTTTGATAAGAGTTAAGATAAAGATGATACAAGGACTTTAATGAAATGTTTTTGCTTGAGCCTTAAGTTGCATTTGATTATTCCTTTCACATTATTACATTAAATATAACAGATTTTTCTTTACACAATGATACTAATGTTCTTTATAGGTCTGAGAAAAGAAAAAAAAAACACGTTTCATTTACCATTTACAACGCTGTCTGAGCTGTAGTTAATAAATCTATTCTTTTTGTCAGCAGAGCTGTTCTCTAAACTGTTGCAGAAACTGACCTCTTTGTGCTCATTCTTTTGTTGTATTGACCTGATAAATGAGTTTAGGAGCACTTTCTGGAATTTACGAGCATTTATATTTTTGTGTTTTGATCATTTTTTTCTCTCGCACGTTTTGAGAGCATCAGTAAATCCACTCATGTCCAATAATGTTTAATAAAAGTAATTTATTATTATTATAATAATTATTATTATTATTATATAATTTAATATGATGAATGACATGTATTTTTTATTTGAGTACAAATAAGCACAAAATACTGTAGATGCTTAAAATATTAGTTATTTCTAAATAGAAGTAACTAATAAAATAATTGAGTAATAGTATTAAAATTATGGAAGAGGCTTTAAATAGCATCTTTGTTTGCATAATTTGCACTGCTAGAATTTTGGATTCTAAACATTTTTCCTTGATTTATTTATTTATTTATTTATTTTTTTACTAGAAATCATGAAATTCTCAAGATTTCTCTCTTCATATCTCAGTCTAGGCAATGTCCAGTGACCAGCCACAACAATAAAACAGTACTTTCTTGAACTGTAAATATGTTTAAGTTGTTTTCTGGTGTTTGACACAATGGACACTTTGAAACGTTCAGTCTTTTGGGTTGCATATGTAGACACCTGTAGATGTTGGTCCAAAGCATCCCGCAGATGCTTCATCCAAATTAAGTCAGTGAATTTGGAGATTGAATCATTGACTTTAGCCCCTTACTTTGTTCAGCAATCTGTTCCTCAGCAGTTTCTGAGGAGTGGCAAAGCACATTGTTCTTCTGAAACAGGCAACTGCCACTGAGGAGAGCTGTTTCCATGTGCTGTTTCTGAAACAGTGGAGAATGGATTGTGGCAAAGAGATGTCCTCATTCAACTACAGTGCCAAGATCAAAGGTTCCCTTGCAGCATTTATTATTTTTTTTTTTATTTCTTGCAAATTTAAATTCCCTCTAGTGATTTTATCGTTGTGGCTAGTTGGAGTACTCTGTGTTTGATCTGCTTGATGCGACCCAGTCATAAATTCTCAACACAGCTGTAAAAAAAAGCCTGTTTTAACTAGAGGTCTGGTGTACAATCTCTTCACTGTTCCCTCTGGAACTGAGGCTCATTGGCATCAATTAGGCCTAGTCTTGTTCAGTGATCAGAGTCTAACGATTGCTCTGAAAGCAGTAAGAAAGAAAGGTAAGTCAGCGTCTTGTAGAATAGCATTTACTGATTGACTCGTGAAACCCTTTTATCCCATCTAGTGCAATTACAGAGGAAATCCCATCAATACACACATTATGGGTCTTAATTTTCTCATTTAAATTCAGTCCGGTCAGGATGGGTAATAAAATTACAGTGAAAACAAAGGAATTAGTTACTTCCACAATTGATTTGCCAGTAGAACATGGAAAAGAGCCTTTTTTTTTTATGACAATCAAACTCTCTCTAGGATTTTGTCATGTACAACGTCATCTTTTCTTTTTTTGTATTTTACCTATTTATTTATCTTTCAGGAAGTAGTTTTGTGGTGAGCATGGGCAGCTTCCTGGATGTCTCCAATTGGCTAAATCCAGCCAAGCTTACTCTCTACTATCAGACCAATTCATCAACACAATGGATTCGGGACTACTGTGGCCAAAGGACCACAGAGCCCTGCGAGCAGATTTGTGACCAGGACACAGGTTAGTCTATCCAAACATACCAACATATGCAAATACTTGAATTTTTAACACTTTTTGACCCTAAAGTGGCAGGTTAGCCCTCCATTTTTCAGCTTTTCACTACCACTATAATTTACATGTGCACACTGAAGAGTGGTGTAAAGTGAGGGCTATTATAGTTTATCAAGCCCTTCAAATTGAGATGTTTAAGGACCTTACCTCAACCAAAGGATAAAGAATAAAGAGAAAGAACAACAAAACTTCAGCTAGGTAACATTTTTTTTTTGTTTGTTTGTTTAACAAATATTGCATTGCCTCAAAAGTCACTGAACTGTCTAATTTGATGTAGCCTGATATATGGTAAACATCGTCTGGCTTTTCTTAACAAGTTTTGCCAGGACATCCTTGTAAAAGAGATTAATAATCTCAATGGATTTGTTTCCTGTTAAAATAAATGTTTAATGAAATTTTAAAAAAGTATACAAAAATATTCTGTGATATATTACGTTAACCATTAGTTTAATACAATGTGTGTGTGCTTGTTTGCATCTGTTCTGATAATGGTTAAATTATGATAATGGAGTATTAGCTGTTTTGATGCAATGGTCAATTTAGAAACTAAATATTTTAAATAGTGCCCCTTATGACCGTGAATTAGAACCCAAAGTAGTGGGAGCAGGTGTAGGGTTAAAGGTACCACCAGGAAATAAGACTGTTCTTGTACAAATAAATAACCCATGGCTTTTTAACAGATCAAGAAAACACTGGTATAAATATAGCTCCATCTTTTCTGCTAATATGAGTCAACCTTGCGAAACAATAATGCTCTTGACCTATTGACAATGCTGCAAGTCTGACTGTATAAGGATGCTTGAGATGTGTTTATTTCTAACACTATCGATACATGTTGCTCTTTATTGTATGTACTTTGCAGCCCTGTGGTTACAAGTGAGTTGCTTTATTAGTTCAAATATTTTCAAATATAAAAGTGCAAGCTCAGCTGGCTCACACAGACTAAGGAGAGCAGTGTTAATACTAGGACAAGTAAAATAAATCTAATATTTTGTAAGTGTATGACTGAAATGTATAAACAAAATACTGATAAATTTAATTATCAAGCAAAAAAATAAATGTGTGAAATTGTATGTGTATAGAACTTAACTGATGTAGTTATATACGGCACTGTAACATATCTAAAGCACAAAAGAAGAAGAAATAGTTTGATAGTGTCAGTGGATCCAACAATTATGAGGCAAATAGGAGTTTTGCTGGAGGCACAAAACAATAGCACGAGTGCTTTCAGTGCTTATTATAGTGAATAAAATAATAATCAGAGAGGGATGAGTTTGCTTTCCCAGAATATCAGTTCAATGCAGAGAGGTCATTGGTGTAATTGGATTTCTTGAACACTCTTTTATATTTATTTTGCTCTAAGTATCACATATGAAGTGGGAATTTAAGAAAAAGAACTGGGATATTGACTTTTTATGAAAAAGAAGTAAAGGTGAGTTAAATCTTGTGTTTACTTTTCTTTGGAGTCATATGTAAATGTGACAGTCTTCTATAGGTCAGGGCACGGTAAAGCAGCCAAACCTCAACATTCACACTGTGTAAGCAGACTCTCCCATTGTCTTTTGCCCTGTCTGAGTAAATAATCACCAGCTGCAGAATGTACACCATCAGCACACACCTTTGTGCCTCTTGTGACATTAAAATGTCCCACTAAAAGCTGAGCATGCTGCCTAATGATATTTATCTTACCTTGAGTGGTGTAATTCCCTTGTGTTTTCCCTGCTCAACAGGATAAAGTCTAAGCTTATTAGCATGGATTACAACTGTAATGTATGTGAAATATATGGAACCTTATTCAAGGACATATTCAAGGCTGATGCATAATGTATCAGAGGCCTGGATACTCAACTCAGTCAGTAAATGCCAAAGATGGAATTAACACTAATAAGTTTAATGTTTCTGATGCAGACATGAGTGTATCTGTCTGATGTTCATCAGTCCCTACACATCCCTGAAATGTGAACTCATTAGTGCTTGTATTGACTTTTAGTCATTTTTCATGACCCACATACATTCAACATTCTCAGTTTATGCTGGTCTTGAGCTCTGTCTTATTTTGTCTCCCTTTTCAATTGTATTTTTCAGCAGCCAGATTGTTTCATCTTCTGTATGCTTGTTAAGTATTTTGGTTCACATTAGTCAATTGAAATCCACCAAACTGCCAAATTAAAAGTGACTTTTTTTTTCTTCCTGTAATTGTTCTCTATTTATAGTTGGCAGCTCCATTTCAAGTACAGCCACAATGTTCTTTACTCTGCCATTTGGCTTAACTGTATTTTATACCCCCCAAAAAATAAATAAATAAAATAAAAATCATATGAAGTGTCCATCTAAACTGGAGATGTTGAAATGAAACATAATGTAAAAACAAGACAATTTCCAACTAAATAGTAAAAACAAACCATAGTTCACTTCCTTTTTTTGTGAAATGGTCAAAGCATGTACATTTTTTTAAAGCGTGTGTGCTGCCATTGAGTCATCATTCCTGTGTGTCTTGGGATTAGGAAATGAGATATTAGCAAACTTTTTTTTTTCAAAACATAGGTTTTACATATTCTTCTACTTGCATGCTAGACCCACAACTAACTCATGAACATTGGTAAGATCGTTGTGATGATTTGTTCCTACTTCCTGTTACTCCCATTTTTAAAGTGTGTTATTTCCTGTTGATCTCAACTTGAACATTTCAGAATTACATATTTTAGGCAATATAACATCCATCCATCCATCCATCCATTATCTTTACCCGTTTCTTCCATTTTGGGTCACGGGGGTCGTTGGTGCCCATGTCCAGCAATCACTGTGCAAGGGGCGGGGTACACCCTGGACGGGTCGCAAGTCCATCACAGGGCCACATAGAGACAAACAAGACAAACAACCATTCACTCTCACACTCACACCTAGGGACAATTTAGAGTTACCAATAAGCCTAACATGCATGTTTTTGGTCTGTGGGAGGAAACCGGAGTACCCGGAGAAAACCCACGCATGCACAGAGAGAACATGCAAACTCCACCCAGAAAGGCCCCTGGACCGGGGTTTGAACCAGGGACCTGTTCGCTGAGAGGCAGCAGCTCTACCAGTTGCGCCACCGTGCTGCCGCAATATAACATGTACAAGTAAATTATAGTTTTGGTAACATATTTAATTGTAAATAGTACCATAGCACATTGTGTTATTAGGAAACTGTCCAAAAATGTATGTGCATAAGATTTAAACACTGTTCTTCAAGCAATATTCTACACATACTATTTGCAATTGTGCAGTTATTACATGAACGCTCCTACAAGCACCTTGCAGATGTTGGATGCTGCCTATCATGGTGCGCTAAGATTCAAAACTGGCTGTAACTATCGTACCCACCATTGCTCCCTGTATTCACTGGTTAACTGGACATCAGTAACTTCACGCAGACTCTCTCACTGGTACATTTTCAACTTTAAATCACTTCTTGGTCTGCTGCCTTCATACATCTCCTCCTACATGTCTCTGCATGAGTGCAGCTACAGCGTGCATCTCAGGACATTATTACCTGCAGTGTTCCCTCAGTGCGGATTGAACTAGGCAAAAGGGCCTTCTCCTACTCTGCTACTGTTTCCTGGAATATCTTGCAAAAAGATCTGAAGCTCTCGACCTTGACCTAAGTGGCTTCTAACATCTGCTAAGTTCCTGGGAAAAACCAGTGCAGACATTCTTGTTTTTAGTTTTCTACATCGACTTACAACCTAGCTTTTTTAATACCATTTTATTTCCACTTGTTATTCTCAGTTTGTATGCATCCTTTTATGATTGTCTATTGTTGTCTTTGTTAGCCACTGTTGTCATCACTCTTTGTTAAAATCAGGTATCTCTTGTAAATGAGCCCCCAAGGCTGAATGGGATTAATCTGTAAAAATAAAGGTTGAATGAATTATATATTTTGAAATTTAAACCAGTCAAGTCCTTCCTTTTTCTAACATGCGTGCTAACACACCTGCAGTCTTGCTTCCTTTGGCCTCTGTAATCACAAGCAGTGGGCTGTTTCAGCAAGTTATCATCCAGCATTTCCATCATGTGGCCCCATCTTGCCTTAGTGTCATGCTGGTTGACAGTCACTGTTGACTACCTGTCTCTGTATCACTGTGACTGGATAATCAATCCTCTCTGCCCTGACCTTCACTCCACAACTCAACTGGCAGTGTGGAGCTCAACAGATTGGCATGATGCAACTCCTTCTGCTGTCAGCTTGAGCTCTGGCTGACCGTTATATGGCAGCTAGTAACGCTATAAATATTGTCAAGATTGCACAAGTATGTCCTTGTAACTAACTGAAAGCATTTTTTTTTACTTTATTTAACATTTACGTTTACATGATTTTTTCCATTGACAGATTATCTATTACCATGACAAGCACATGGTATCATTTATGAAAGTAGGTTGTTTAGATTAAACTAGCATGCGATGCCATTGTGCTGACTTATGGTAAGTATTGTGTGAGATTTTTGGACTTTACATTCTATCTTCTAAAGACAAAATGCCTACAATTGTTCCTTTGACATGTAATTATGAGGTGCATGTACAATATAACAAATAAATGTAAGCAGTCATTCCCAAAACATATTTCCATCATGAATGACTTCCACACCAAATCTTAGCTCAATATCTGTTAAACTGACCAAAGTATACCTGTTTTGGGTGATTACCTGTATCAGCCTGCTTAAAATGGATTGATTCTAAACAATGCATCAGTTGAAGTTCAGCCACAAATGACTTTGTTACTAAATTCATTAAAATCTGTTCATTGGTATATGATATATTTTGATATTTTAATGGTGTTGACATGGACATGTCTTAACTAAAAACTTGTGTGATCAGTGTCACTCAGAGGATAAATTGGGGATGACTTTCATTAACTTGCAACATTTTAGTTCATTTTCTGTATAACTGACTGAAATTTATCAACTATACAT